AACCCAAGGAGGGGTCGCTATGAGTCCGGGCCGACTCGACGGCACATAACAACAACAACAATCTCTTGTCTAGTTTTGTTTGGAAATGGGATCCTTTCTTCCTGGGAATTCTGATAGGCAACCACTTAGAATTTACTATAATGTGTTTATACCTCTTCTAATGGTAAATGTACTTAAAAAAAAAAAAAATCACCCACCCGCACACTTTCAAGGGGATGCCCAGTGGCACACAAGCCATCTTTTGAAATTGATGAAGGACTTGCACAGTGTTCATGAAATGCTAAGAGGCGAAGCCCGCCTGTTTTTGTTTTAAAATACCTGTGTCTATTTAGACAAGGCTGCAAACAGCAACACACTCCAAGCAGTTTTCTCTGTGCTGAGACCACAGGCCATTTTTCTGCATTTTATAACTTTAAATTCGTGTTTTTATTTTGTAACAAGAAGAACAGATTTTTTTTAAACAAGAAGGAGAGAAAAAAATAAATCAACTGAAAAACCCCTTGGGACGTGAAGGAGTAGCCTGAGGGACAGAAGGAGTCTTTGAGCGGCGCCCTCTTGTGGTTGCAAAGACCGTTTCCTTTCCGCATTTCCTCGGGTAGGTGGAATCCTTCCAGTGAGGAACCTGTCGGCCTGGGTGATGCAGGCTTCAGCTGGGCTGGCCAGGGTCCAGCAGGCTGGATCTTAACAACTTCACCTTGACTTTTTTCTTTAGCCTGGACTGAACGTGTAGCAAGGGAGTCGTCCTGGTTCATTCTTTTTTGCGTATAAATGAGAAATTTCTCCAGTGTGGGGCAGGATGCAGCCTGGGCTTAAGTCATCACCTGTGTGTCTCTGTAAGTACTTTTTTCCCAAGAGAGTATCTGATCAGGTTGTTTTCTTACCATGCAATAGGAGTGTCCCTCTGAGCAGAGTTTAATGCAAAGTTCCCTCAAGGTGGTTAGGGTCAGAACAGGAATGTTAGATTGACTCTGAACTTGGCAAAAATTGTTTTAGCAATTTTATGTAGAAAACTGACAAGGAGTTCTTTCATCCCAAGGAAGCGGTGGGCATGAGAGACTTTTCACCAGGGCTTCACACAGGTTCTTTACGGTTTAACAAGACGCACACGTAAGAATCGCCTGGAGAGGGTGTTAAAATGTAGATTCTGATTCAGTGTATCTGGGGGTGTAAGTTCAGCAGGGGGTCCAGCCTGAGGTTGGA